ATCCTTCTCCACAGCAAGTCCAGGTACCAACCCATCAATGAGACACTACTGAGTGATATACAGTAGGGCTGTAAGGATGCATTGAACTATCAATGGATTGCAATTGTTGAGTCTCCAATAGCAATTAATCGATGGTAAAAACGAAAAATTATCGATGCATAGATACTTCAGTGACTGACTTCCGTTGATAAATGCGCAGCGTAAAATACAGGAAGTACCAGATTCTTTCACTTTGATTTAGAGTTAGTCCGCCCCTGTTACCTCTTAAACAAACTTGATCTAGGTTTCAAGTTTCTTGTCAGTTATTAAAATAGACTGAAATGATACATTCATATGGGAAATTACGTCAAATGAGACAATTCAAGGAGAAAAAACTATTGCAATAGTTGGTCGAAATAGACTATAGCCATCTCAATAGTATGTTGCAATAGACTATCGCTATCGCAATAGTTGTTTCTCCCTCAATAGTTTCCCCTATTATACAATAATACAGATATCAGACAAAACTTGACCTCAATCAGCAATTCACACCAAGACATCTTCTCAATAGCAACTAGCAGACAGATTGCTTGACTCTGCATACATCATAATGTTTCAAAACACTACATATGTATATAGTACAAACTTAAAGGTAAAGAAAGACTGACTGACTGACTGACTGAGTTTGGTTTTACGCCACTTTTAGCAATATTCCAGCAACATCACGGCGGGGGACACCAGAAATGGGCTTCACACATTGTGCCCATGTGGGGATTCGAACCCGGGTCTTCGGCATGGGTAAAGAAAGAACTTCTTTGTGAGGCATTTAGAACTTGGACTGCTAATTAATGACTAGATATGTGGATGAACAACTTCTTTATTACAATGAGCAGCGATGTTTCAGTGTAGAATTTTCTAATGCATTTATCGCATCACTTGTTTCATAAAGGTGTTAGAACGTACACCGAAACGTTGCTACTCAATGTAATTCAGAAGTTGTTCATCTGTATATCTTATCCTTACTTAGTAAAGAACACAAGCAACATAAAACACAAATGACAACTCACTTTTTCGGCATGGTGATTTCAGCATGAGAAAGTGTTCTCTCAAATATAAGTCCATTTTTCATTTTCCACATTTTGGCAACCTACAGAATAAAACAACTTTTGTAGATATTTTACATGAACACTCAAACATTGGTCAAGAAGGTCTGATGTTAATTCTACAAGACCACCAACTCTGGGTTCAAGCGCCAATTTGAGTGAGTGAGGGAGGGAGTGAGGGAGGGACATATCGCTGTCATGAGACAATCACGTCTCTATAGTGATATTAACATATGGACAATACTTAATATCCCCTGTTTCATGTTTTCATTTTGGGAAACATGTTCAACAGAGTGAGGGAGGGAGGGAGGGAGGGACATATTGCTGTCATGAGACAATCACGTCTCTATAGTGATATTAACATATGGACAATACTTAATATCCCCTGTTTCATGTTTTCATTTTGGGAAAAATAATCGACATCATGTCAACAGAGTGAGGAGGGAACAGAGACAATCCGGAGTGAGGTTCAACAGAGGGAGGGAGGGACATATTGCTGTCATGAGACAATCACGATATTAACATATGGACTCTATAGTGATATCATGTTCTAAATAGAGTGAACATATGGTCATGAGACAACTATAGTGATATTAACATATGGACAATACTTAACATCCCCTGTTTCATGTTTTCATTTTGGGAAAAATAATCGACATCATGTTCAACAGAGTGAGTGAGGGAGGGAGGGACATATTGCTGTCATGAGACAATCACGTCTCTATAGTGACACTAACATATGGACAATACTTACCATCCCCTATTTCATGTTTTCATTTTGGGAAAAATAATCTACATCATGTTCAACAGAGTGAGTGAGTGGGTGAGGGAGGGAGGGAAGGAGAGTGATCAGGGAGAAAGGGAATGAACGAGCGAGTGTTTTTCAGTCAAAGACAATGAATGTCAGCTTGACATGGAAGAAGAAGAGGGAATTATGCTGGAACGAAGGATTATCATTTGAACTCATGATCATGCCTTTGGAACAGCAGCTTAAGTCAGTTACTCCCTTAGGAGTGCAAGGGAATCTGTGAAGGGTACAACTCTGGACCGACCTGGAAGGGCAGGGCTGCCACATACTCCCCTCCCTTGTCCATGAAGAATGTGACATTGGTAGCTTCTACTACACACACGCCATTTTGGACCATCCCTTCAACACAGAACACATGGAATCTATAAAGTAAACTACATGCTGTTTGTTCACTTTTCATGGTCACAGGACAAGAGTAGGCTCTACCATGATTACATTGTACATAAATAGCAATGGATTCCTCTTACAACAAGCATCGGTTGCTGAAGACCAATTCTAACCCTGATCTTCATGGATAGTTTGACCAATTAGTACAATGAACCTTGTATGTGTATAGATTTCAAAAAGTGTGCCAAGCACTATATTTCTGATGAATATGGGTCAGTTGTTAACACAATTCAGACAAAGAGTGCACTAAAATGACTGTACCGATGTAGGGCATCATACCAGGACTATAACATGTGATGAACAAAAGCACTGGTAACTTGAGTTACCTGGCACATCAAATGTAGGGTACAAATCCAGCTGTACATCTTTGTGGGGCAGCACAAATGAACACCACAGAGCCTGGAAGGAAAACAAATCTTCCATTGAAAGAAACACATCCAAGAGGTCAGTCTCATTTTATGCTGATGTTAGCAATATTCCAGTATTTCATGGCGGGGACACTAGAAATGGGTTTTACACATTGTACCCATGTGGGGAATCAAACCCGGTCTTCAGCATGACAAGCACGCTTTTAAACGCTTTATCCCAATGCCCAAATCCAAGGAAGTAGGGCATAAGGCTAAAAGCAGATAAAAGGTTATGAGGCAGCAGTACATCATCAACCACACGCCTTTAACAGCTCAGTTATGTGAGTTCTGTTTTAGACTGAAAATAAAACATTATTCCTTTAATTCTTCAGAATAAAATCTTGGCTGACCTTTTGCAATAATTGCTGAAAACCAACAGTTTTCAACTGCTTCAAGATTCTACAATGGATATGGGTCAGTTCAGTGAAAGTTGTTTTATGATAGTCAGCAAAATTTTAATCATGTCAATGCAGCCTATAAAAAGTATAACTACTCAAACCACTGTCTGATACAATGAACAACAATCTACACCTTCAGGAAACAAAAACATACAGTTGGCAACATTAGACCCATCCTATCCTTGTCAGCTCGTGAGATAAGCATGGGTAATCCATCAAAATGCAAATACCCATGGTGGAATTCTATAAATAAATCAACGTTGTAATCAAACAATATATTCCTCTTAGAATACAGAGATTTAATTATGTTCCCAGAACAATTACAAATATAAACAGATAGTAAGAAAATTTAATTAACAAGTTCATCCAATATTTGGAAACATAACAAAGGATTCAGATGACACTACTTTCAGTGTTGACAGATTACAACAGCTGATAATGTCCTCACCTGTAACACAGGTGTATCAACAGTGCACGCCTTGACAACAGAGCGGACACCATCTTGACCACCCCTACTCCAAACAACAGTGTTTCCACTGACGTACAGTTCCTCATCAAAGCTGCTGCCACTGCTGTCATCATTGGATGCAAACACCCACTGCTCTTTCTGTAAAACAAATAATTTCAGTACAGTGAGCAAGTAAAGTTCTCTATATCATGGAATATTATTATCATAGGATATTTATATAGTGCACATATCCATGTATCTAGTACATGCTCAAGGAGCTGACACTTTTTTCATATTGAGACATAACTTATGAATCGGGTTGGGAGACATAACCTGTTTGTCAGATTCATGCCAATAATACCATATCAGAGATCTTAAGATACGGTTTGGAACTAATTTACATGATGTATGTCTGCTCATCCAAGACATGTAAGATTCACAAAGAACCAGTGATATTTATTTGTGGAATACCAATTTCATCATTCGCAAAAGGCACCTCTAAAGCAGATCTTTAGATACAAGGGAAAGACTTAGTTTCTCACAGTCACACTCCTTAGTGAACGTTTTAAGGTCATTATACAGTTTGAAAATGATTTACCAAAGATGTTGGAAAGATTCATGACTCAAATGTTTAACATCAGCAAATCAATTATTTGAGCTGCATTAACATCAGCATCACCTCACAAACAAATATACTGAGAAAACACAATAACAAATTGAAAAATATTTACCTTTAGATGAATCATGCAGAGAAATATCTCTGAAAGATTTAAGCAGTGGTAAACCATGGTCAGCATGGGCAGTGTTCTGGACTTGTAGCTGGAATTTCCCAGGGTGATGTCTGCTGTATTCTGGCGGTCCGAACGGCACAAAGTCCTGGGTTTACGACGACTTGGCGATCATATCATCTGGCATTCCAGCGTGGCAGCTGCTATCAACACACCTGTCCACAGACAAATAAACTAGACTTTGAATGGAATTTAGAAGTGATACACATGAAGTAGAATTTATGGATGTTAGTATATTTGAGTATATTCTTGCTCCCTCACCTGGGGACAAGTGAGAAAAGAGCCTGCATTCACCTGATGAAGGAATAAGAAACTTACTGAAATCTGTTCCTATAAAAACATGCTGCCATCCATAAATCCTCTCCTTAGCTAATACGATAGTCGTAAATGCCATTGCCATACATTAACATAAACTAACGGCCATCTTAGCTCTAATCTGCCCCAAGAACTCAAAGACTCTCAAACGTTGTCATCTTTCAAATCCTTACTAAAACTTTCCTCTTCTGCCAAGCTTCCTGACTGTTATTATCAAACCATGTTTTGTGCTTTGAGCATCCTTATGTTTGGAAATAGTGCTATATATCAATGCACTATTATTATTATTAAATCTAGGCCCAGGAGTTTACATATGGGACACATGGTAAGCAATCAAAATACACACAATCCCTATATGTGTCACACTTTAACCATAAGACATGGATGGGTTTCTGATCATTTCTGTTTTTCACACATTGTTGCCCCTGACTGCGACACACACATAATTTCTTGACAAAGAAAGCACTGATTCCTCATTCTGTGTCTACACCATACTGTAACAATGACAATGTATCCCTGCGATTTGTATGTCATATTCTTGTGGAGGCATTCCATCTTCAGATTTCTGGGCTAATGTTGATTTTGGTGTATTCTGGTGGAGGCTTAACTCTGTTAATCCTTAATCAGTCGCTAATTGTGGCCACTCCAGGATAGACTACGGGCACTCTGGCCATCAGGGACAGATTAATCTCAGTAAATAGGAAGATGAAATTAATTAATCTCAATACTGTGTTACTTCTCATGTAATAAATGTTTTGACTATGAGTTTACCCCTTTAACATGAATATGCTTTGGTTTCTGCTGGTCATCATTTGATGTTTTAATATTACTTTTCAGGGATTTCTCACTAATTCTCAGGTGGTGATATGCATGCAATAAATAATGTGTGCAATCCACGATGTGCATCTTTGTACATGTCATGGATGTAAGAAGAGGTGAGATTCGACATCTTATTAGAAGATTTTCGCATAACTGTCTTAAAGAAAATAAGAATGGAATACAATCTGGCACTGTTGATACGCTTGGATATGGGTCAGCACAATGATGGGACCCTTTGTTTGGAAGAAGAAGGCATTCCCATTCAGCAGTTACAAGGAAGACTGCAGCAATTGCCATCAAGGACATAATGAGGAAAAAGAGCTTGTGATGAACTGACCAGTATACCACAGATTTAAGAAGAAGAGTGGAAGAAATGTTGAATTGTATCGGTGGACACTCAGGGACAACCAAATAGGGTGGACACACTAGAAGTGGCCAGACTGGGCATAAATCTTCATTTTAGGGTGCTATGCTGTTTTAGATATTAAAAAAACTCCTTCATATTACTTTGAAAATAAATTAACTTGATTAAGCTTAATAAGTGAGCTAGCGTGAGTTTGGTTTTCCCGCTTTTAGCAATATTCCAGCAATATTACAGCGAAAGGGGACACCAGAAATGAGCTTCACACATTGTACCCATGTGGGAAATCGAACCGGATCTTCGGCATGACGAAGCTAACGCTTTAACCATCAGGCTACCCCACGCCTCTGATTAAGCTAATAAGAAACTTATTAGAGACTCAAGTACTTCACCCAACTGGATGCACTTTTTGCACTCAGGAATAGCACTAAAAGAAGGGTTGGTGGAAGCTTTAACTTACATTAGCAACTTGAGGCTAGGCTGGGCTAATGAGTTAATTTCCCCAACACCTTGGCATGGACCACACATAATTAGTGCTCATTTCTCTTGTTATTAGTATCTAATTTATACACAGTTGCTGCTGATCACCAAAGGTGAGTCAGTTACTACTAATATTAGCTGACTGCCTAGAAGACTTTGGATTATGTTTTCAGACGGCAGCATGTACAATAGGGTAAAACGATGTGTGTTAAGTCACAGGCATTTTAAATACTTGGATTATTTATCACTTGTTTCTAAGATAAAGTCTGGGTCTTTTAGAAGTTAGTGAGATGTTTTACAGTTGTTCGTGGGTTCAATGAGAAAACCGTAAATCGAGGGGAGAGTACTGCACTTTTTTCAGATTATTTAGGGCTGCTGGGGTTCCCTAACCCTAACCCTAGCAATAAGGATCGTAAAGGGTGCCTAACCCTAAGGATCGCAAAGGGTGGCATACCCTTACCCTAACCCTAAGGATCGTAAAGGGTGGCACACCCTTTACCCTAAACCCTAAGGATCGTAAAGGAAGCAGCGAGGGCTGCGCCCGGTAAAGTGCATTCTAGCCAAAGTTGAATCTTCTACAGACGAGTTAGTAATTAACCAGTTTGCATGTCAGTTACACTCAGACGCAGACGATACCTCTGATAATGACAACCGAAGACAGGTCCTGGGCACGACAGAACGTCACAGATGAGAAGTTTACAACTTGCATTTCAAGGCTACAAATTAATTATCTCACAAAACTATCTATCATCGACAGGCGTAATGACAAGAATAATTTACCTTGTCAAGTGAGAAATATCAAAGCACACTAAATACAGCGAGTTCAACATTCAAGATCAGGGACGATTTTCATTTTGCCTCCATATTGCTGTGAGATTAATCTCGCACTGAATAATTAGGACACTTTGAACGAAGTGAAAATAAATATATCAAAATAGATGCATCCCATTCATGGTATGTCGTGGTAAATGGTAGCCGTGACAACATTCCAGATATTCATATTTAATTAATATCGTAAATTATCTGAATTAACACATACCATTTGGTTAACAACTACCAAATAAGCAACTATACGTGAAATACCTCTTCAGACAAAATACCATGAATTGCTATTTATTTCTCATTTCCTTCTAATCATTTTGCGCTTGTTTCCATTGGTGCATCGAATATTTAATTAAGTATAGCGGCCATATAAATCAGCATTTGAAACTGTTGAAATAGGATGTCCTTATACTATACATTTAACAGCAACCTTGCTAAAACAGTAACGAGCTCTTAACACAGCAATATGGATTACTTTATAGGGTTAATTAATCTTATAAATTACTTTGATATATATCGTGTACAATAAGTCTTACAAGTGATGATGTCTTCGATTTTCCACACGCGACTGAGTGACAAATGTCTACCATGGATTTAGGTCATGGTGAATCTGAGCTTCAAGCACACTATCCTGACTTCGCCTAAGGGAAGCAAATCTCCGAAGCTAATTTTGACCCCCAGACAAAAGGAAAAAGGAAAGATTGTCATCACGACATATGTGTTATCTACAGCTGTATGTTATACATCAATCACTTCTCTCGTTAGAAATTCACATTTGTGGAATAAATGATCACAGTTTGAACTGGAACGGGTGGTGATAAATGATGATTATTGCCTGGAATAACTATACACAGACTAATTGCAACAAACGTTTTCACATATTCAGAACACAAAAGTTATCCCAGAATATTTTAATCTTTGTTTATGGGGCCTAGGCTGTGGAAAATTGGCAGTTCAAAGAATATTATTCATTTCGTTCAAACACCACATTTTGTATCTACAATGTTAAACTCAATTATGTGTACAAGATAACAATTAAATGTTACACTAATTTCAAAGATAAACAGTTTCACGTGCACGCACGGCGTCTAGCTAGACTGGGCATAATGGGCACATAACCTGTCAGCCTGGTTCACTGGATCTGTTAGCGCAGGCGCAACAGACCCGGGAAACCAGGCTGATAACCTGTATGGGGAGAAATCCTCTCTAAAAGTGTATGTCTCACATTCCCCGAAACATACTTTTTCTGTCCAACCCTTTCTGTAATGTAAAGCTCCAAATGAAGCAAGTCTTGCTTTTCCTAAGGTTCAAAATCTACCATCTCAATGGGGCTCATTTTCAGTGTAAGCAGTGTAGGAAATAAGGCCCGTCCGACATCCCGAGATGGTCTAGATTTCTGACGGACGGTCTAAATTTACAGCTAGCCAGCCCGATGGTCTAGTAAATTTTTAGATGTTCCATACATCTGAGTAAATTCACCGTATTTGGTCTGGTTAAATCCATTTGGGGCCGGTAACATTTTGAAGTTACCAGCCCTGATGTCTGGCTGGATTTTGGGCTCATTTCATACACTGGTGTAAAAGGAGTTCATTCCGTCAAATTATATAGTTTCAGAGACTAAATGTTAGTCTGTTGTGAAAATACAATGTCATTTAGAAAGGGGTTAAATGTTATATTTGGGATTACACTTTCTCAGTTAAGTACATCATCTAGTACTTCCGTTTCATTAAGTCCCTTCGAACCCACACCCTCAAAGTCAGGAACCTAATCGCCAGCACAAACGTCAGCGACCTAACCCACTCAGCCACCGCAGCTTCCACAAAAATGAAGTCGGACAACTGGCATTTTGATCACGTAGTTTGTGGACCCCACTGGCAAGTGTAAATTACCCACATATACTCTCCCAAAAAGAAACGCATATAGGAATTTTAACTGTATTTTTATGTTTAATTTGAAACACCTTTGTATGAGTCAATGAAATATTGCGAAATTGCACACTGGGAATGCAGACTTATCCGTCTTTGGCACCAACCCGAGGAAAGTCAGTTTGAGTGTCACATGGAGACGTGTGGTGGCGCTGAAGTCAATACCTCGTGTGACCACCGTGGGCATCCAGAACTGCACGGCATCGCCTCGGCATCGAACGAATACGTCTCAGAATCTCGTGTTGCCCAATCGCAGCCCACTCTGCCTGTAGTGCCTGTGCGAGTTGCTGAAGTGTCTGGGGCTGAGGGTTACGGCGTCGCACCCGTCTGTCCAGGGCATCCCACAGATGTTCGATCGGGTTTAAGTCCGATGATCTTGAGGGTCAGGGGAGCACATTGATGTTGTGGTTCTCGAGGAAGTCTCTAGTGTGACGTGCTGTGTGGGGCCTGGCATTGTCCTGTTGAAATAACTCCCTCTGGCGATCAATGATTGGAAGGAGGTGTGGGCGAAGGATTTCGTCACAGTACCGTGGAGCTCTCAGGTTGCCCTGGACCATCACCAAATCGCTTCTCCTACGTCAGGTGATCGCTCCCCACATCATAACACCGCCCCGGCCGAATCTGTCCACCTGGGCAACGCAAGCGTCGGCGAAACGTTCACGTTGACGTCTGTACACCCGCACTCTTCCATCGCGTCGTTCCAATAGAAATCGTGATTCATCACTGAACCAAATTCTACGCCAATTCGGTAGGTTCCAGGCCTGAACGTTTGTGCACCATTGAACTCGATGTCGACGATGTTGTTGTCGAAGCACAGGGCCAAAATAAGGTCTTCTTGCACGTAAACCAGCCTCTCTCAACCTGTTCCTGACGGTCTGTGCAGAAAGCCTTCTCAATCCGGGTATTTGTCGAGCGGTATTGGTCGCCGTAGCTGGTCGATGACGCAGGTGATGTACCCGGATGTAGCGATCCTGCGCCGCAGTGGTCGCTCGAGGTCGCCCACTACGAGGGGCATCTGATACCGCATTCTGCCGGCGATATCTCTCCCAGAGCCTTGAAATGGTGCATTGGTGAACATTCATGCGTCGGGCAACTGCACGTTGAGACTGGCCAGCTTCAAGCAAACCAATGGCGATATGACGGTTGGCTTCACTTAGACGTGGCATTTTGCGTTCGTCAGCACTATTCCAAATACGGTGAATAATCGACAGACAGCGATCAACCTTTTATACCCATCATTGAGACTATCTGATCCCCAACTTTCACGTGCATTGCATGTGAATTGTGTATTCTGTGACACTAAACGCCGAAATTGAAAATCATGCTGTTAAGTATTTTACGGATGGTGCGTTTTGTTGTGCTGTTTCAAAACATAAACACCATAGGACTCATAAACAGAGCAAAACCTTTTGTAAAATGAATCACGTTTTAATTCACTGCTACATGAAATTGCTATTTTCATGATGCGTTTCTTTTGGGAGAGTATATATATAAACAGTTATGACAGTTCCACTGTGAGATTACAATGACTGATCAAACGACGCATTGTCACCTGATCATTTTATTGTGATTTGTTCTGCAACTCAACTGACCATTCCTCCCTTGCTGTCCTGCCATGTGCATAAATACGTAACGTGTAATACATTTATCACCCCAAACCTATCTATAACCCAGTCGTAAACTGAAAATTTCACCACACATGGTGCCAACATTGCTATGTTTCCATGAGTGAGTGGAGTGAGTTTGCTTTTACGACGCTTTTATCAGTATTCCCGCAATATCACTGCGGGGGACACCAGAAAAGGGCTTCCGTGACACCCTTTGAACTTTATTGAGTTACTTTGCACAGTCTATGTAACCCGAGTGCTAATTATTACTTGCAATGACTACATGAACTCAGCATCAAGTGAATGAATACACAAGCAAAGGGCCTATACAATAAGACATGGACGACAAGACATATATACTCAGCAGCAAAAACGTCAGTACGAATTCAAAATGAGATAGGCACTGTAATCAAATCATTACAGAAATGGACATAATAAGCTGATCAAAAACATTTTTTGTGTACAATATCTTGACACATCAATGAATACCTCAGCACAATTCAAGACATTACGTGAACGTTTGCAGTCCATTCAGACTCTTGACTTCAGTATCTAGTGTGACCACCACGAGCGGCAATAACTGCAGCACAGCGTCTATGCATGGAGTGCACCAATCGATTGATGAAGGCCATTGGCACCTGGAACCACACTCTGAGAAAGGCCTGGCGCAATAAATCGGCTGTGTTCGGCCTTGGAATGACATTATTCAGTCTCCTCTGAATTTCATCCCAAAGATGTTTAACTGGGTTTAAATCAGGACTAAGGTATGGCCACTGCATAATGTTGACACTGTTCTGCTGTAGGAAGTCCCATGTAGCTCTGGCAGTATGGGTTATCATACTGGAAAATGTTGTTCCGGTGACGTGCGAAATGTGGTATGACGTGGGGTCTGAGAGCTTGGTCTATGTAGCGGACCGCTGTGATGCCACCTCCTCTCCCAGGAACACCATAGGACCCACTCTCTGGTTCAGGCCTATTCATCTCGATACCATGATGCTTGCACCTCCCCGCGAGTCTCTTTCCATAACACATTGGTCCGAATAACGCTGGCCACGTCGTCGCCATATTCTTGTTCTGCCATCTTCAGTTGATACGCAGTACCGACTCTCATCTGTGAACTGAACAGTTCTCCACTGCCTGTATCGACAATTTTGGTGTTGCAGGGCAAACCGTAGACGTTCACGCCGATGACGAGGAGTGACGAGGTCTACGGCAATGGAGGTTCCGTCTGTTAAGACGTCGCCGTACTGTATCAGTACTGATTGGCCTTTCGTGTGTTCCCCACTCTCTGGCGTGCTGTTTCGGATGCCTGCATGACTGAAGGGATTCTGTACAAGCTGTCGCACAACATGGAGGTCTTGTCGTCTTGTGGTCACCCTTGGTCTGCCAGTACGGGGGCGATAATTTGTTGTGTTTGTGGCCCGGAAACGTTGATGCAGTCTGTAGATGGTCCGAACGTTGACCTGGAAGTGATTGGCAACGTCTTGTGCAGGGTGGCCAGCTTCAAGTCTTCCTAGCGCCTGGTTCCTCTGAGCTGTCGTGAGTCGCGGCATCCTGCTGATGTTGTAATGTAAATGTTTCAACCAGGTTTGGGGTGCATTTTATAAGGCTGGTCCTTGTGAACAGCACGTGCAGCATGAGTTGCATGAAAAACATATAGAATACCGTACCATCTCCGAGATCAGGTTGCGTTTTTAGACCATTTCCTGTGTTCCATTCTGAGGAATGTCTTTGCTCAGGTAAAGTTGGAAATGTTGTCAAAAAATATACAATCAGTTATCCGTTTCTGCGAAGGAAAATTCCAAACTGACGTTTCTTTTGCTGCTTAGTATATATGGAATATTCGACTGAAATTGTAATATCAGGTCGTCGCTGTTTTAAGGACACTAGCTGCACTTCATTGTTGCAAAATCAATACGTACATGTAATTGCTGTATACTGAAGTAGATAATTGTACATACACAACATTGTACTATTTTGCAAGGTGACATGTTTTGGTAAGCATAATTCTATCAAATATGAGAATTCATGGGGATTCCTCTGGTTGGTTCTCCCGGCCTGAAATTGTCAGGGGTTAAACTTGGAGCGAAGGAGCAGTTTATGCTATCAACTTACAGAGAATACAAATTAAAGTACACTTCGCGTAAATACTATTACATGTATGCATGGCTTTGCCATGCCTAAACACAGAAAATTGACTAAAACGAAAGAGAAAAACGTTTGTTTCTAACAGGACGTGGATGACAAATTGCATTTATTGTTATTGAATGCTCATAAGCAACTGTTTATTAAATTTTATTGAGATGTTAGAAAATACTGTGATTATCTTATGCCAGCAGGTGAGCGTTCAACAGAGGTCCGACGGTGTATAAATCAGTCATAGGGTAATAGCATGTATATTTTACTTCCGGTAAGTTCCGCAGTTTGTTTTCCTTGTTCGACAGATGACACGCACGTTGTGTTGAATAGGGGATCCTGTCATAACCGGTTCTTATCTTTCTTTGACACATTTTGGTTGTCGACTTTTGACGGAACATGGTGTCAACAGGTTGCAAAGCAGGCGGTGTCATCACCATACTTGTTGTAATAGCTGCATATTTGTTCAAGCGTCAAGCAGACGAAGCATTGCGAGAGCGGGTACATCAAGTGTTGTCCGGGTTACTGCGGGCCGAAAGAAAGGTTCCGCATCCAAAGTTCCGGGTCGCAATCGGATTTGGAGGATGTCAAGATTTAGTTGCTGATGGCCTAGAATTGTTGGACAAAATGCACATTGGTCCACCAGACAACCCAACCCATTTCCATTCGGTTGACAATACAACGGAACTTGCACAGTTGATGGGGTTCTTCTTCAGGCACGGAGCTGCTGCAGAGTAAGTACTCTTTTCGTTTTATCAGACTCTTCAGATAATTTTACGTTTCCACAATTGCGTTTATCAGTTTGAATTCAGCCACTTCATGACTGAAGCATGTGAAATGTTGGCAACAGTTCTAGTTTCACTGGGGGCGGTGGGGTAGCCTAATGGTTAAAGCGTTGGCTCGTCACGCCGAAGCCGGGTTCGAATCCCCACATGGGTACAATGTGTGAAGCCCATTTCTGGTGTCCCCCGCCGTGATGTTGCTGGAATATTGCTAAAAGCGGCGTAAAACCAAACTCAGTCAGTCAGTCTAGTTTCACTGGCATATATCTGGTGATTCCCCAAGCGTTCTCTTGTAATGTCTGGTGTCCATTGCCGTGATATTGTTGGAATATTGCAGAAAGTGGCATACAACCATGCTCATTTGGGTTAGGTACCCCATTCTCATTAGACAGACACACACGCCCCTTCTTGAGCCATATATTTGACCGATCAAATGCCCCGTTACAATCATTAGAGTTAGTGTGGGTTAGGGAATGATTTAGATAATTTCCTAATGAAATTAATCAAACATAATTTTGGGAAAATCCAGTAATTTTTTATAATAGTTGAGTTTTACGGAGAAAGAGGCAACTGTGTATGGTAACGGTTAACAATTGTGTTATGATCACTTGAACGACAAGCACTAATTCAGTGTTGTAAACTCCCCAAAATTTCGGCCAGACAACTGGTCTGGTAACTCTCAAAAGTTACCAGACCGGCTGGAAAGTTACCAGTCCAGAATTTTCAGGATTAACAGTGATTTTGAAGCCTATAAAAATCAGTAGGACAAATGTCCTGAGTGGGTGTCTGGCGATAGGCCATTGACCTAAAGCTCTTTTTGACATTTTTAAATCCCAATGGCATCATATAACTAAATTGTTAATGACATTTAATGTTGCAACTTGGATTCTAGATATACAGCAAAATTAAAAGATCTAATCCCACTGTTGATAAATATGAAATTTATTTTTCTAACATTTTTCAAATAATACAACTACAACTTAAATAAATTGAGTTTTTAATGAAAATGCAAGCATTTATAATGTCCAGAAATATCACAAAAGAAGCAAAAACTATGACGATTTTTTTCCATTTGTGACTTGTCATAACATCCCGTGCCTTTTTTCTTTTATATTTTCATTTTACGTAATCAGAAAATTATTAAAGCCACTGATATCGGAAATAGGCGACCATACATATTATTTAAGAAATCTTTAAGATTTCTTAAATAATATGTATGGTCGCCTATTTTCCCGATATAGATTTCTTAAATAATATGTATGGTCGCCTATTTCCCGATATCAGTGGCTTTCCGCTCAGTAACATGACACAACAACGGAAAATACCTCCGTTTTCGAAGCTTCGTATGAATAACATGCGAGGCGAATCGTTTGATGGCGGGTATCGTTCGAAAGCTCTGAACATCAACAATATCACTATACCCTTGCTGAGAGTATTTTCACAGTTGTAAGAAGCGATTTTATTGGATAAAGATTGGTTTCTAATGACGCTTTTTCGCCACAGTCTGCTATAAGAGTCGTGATTGGTCAAAATCAGACACGTGACATGAGGCAGCCAATCATATTACGGCAATGGATACTGTCCTCGTAAACGAAAACTTTTATATTTAGACGAAAGTTTTGGGTAAAATAATGCTATTCGGAACATATTAAGCACAAAATCGCTATGTATACGTAAATTATGGAACTTATTGGACGTATCGTGCTAGGTTATGACCTGTGACAAAAATGCTTCATGCATATATTTTCGCATTAAACATAGTGTCCAAGCGTGAAGATTGAGGCGGCGAAAGCCGAGATGTCACTTGTCAGTGACTTGACTCGCATTGCATGATCGCACAAAAAGATGGAAATAGTAGTTTTATATGTACGTTTGACAACTTTTATGAATCAGGGGGGGATACAGCTTTTTGAGAAAGGGGGTGTGCACACTATTGAGAAAAGGAGGGGTGCACACTTCATTTTCACCCGAGTTTCAATGGTCATATAACAAATTTTCAGCACAAAAGAGGGGGTGCGCACCCCTGCACCCCCCTCTGGATCCGCCTATGTGAATGCTATTGTTTATTTTATTCATTAGTTTATTCAATTTATTTAATGATTTCCTTGAAACATTGTTACATGCGGGTGGGGTCGGGAAAGCCCGTTTCTGATTGTCCAATGCTTAAAATAGCAGCCAATCGCGCAATCCATTAGATCTACATGTACATTTGGTAGCTTAGTGTGATAAAAATGGATGCGTAAATACATACACGCCGCGGAAACATGATCAAGATTCCGTGGTTAGTTTTTGATGAATTCGTAAATGATAATGTTCGTAATTTATTAGGTCCAATATGTGAAAATAACATCGAAATTATCGATCTGCACAATAACACGTTTTTAAATGTTTTTAGTCATTATATACATTACAAAATTACGCTGATTCAACAGCCAGACCATCGGGCGTGCAACTTTTTAAAACTGACCGTCCGGTCGCAAAACAGACCGTCCCGGACGGTCGGGCAGGCGTGGAGCTGAGAGCTCATCAAAACCGTATGCTTAAATGGCTGTTTAAGACCGCTAATTAAAGTGACCGATTCACACCGTGATATATACAACTAACTCGTTGACCCTATTGTTTGTAAACAAACATGTCGGACACCAGCAATTTCTATCTCGGCAGCATCTTTGATGCTTTTAAGCAAAAAGCTTAATGGTTTGAAGAAGAATTTCTTGACCCTTATCCCTGTGAAGAAACTACTGAAGCTGGAAAATCTGTCAGAAAGCAAAAGCGGCAGTATATTCAAACCGGGGTCCAGATGTGACGTCGACGTTGAACACACATCGGCCCACACATCCTAACCTGACCGCTTCCGCCCGGCTGTAATGCCCAGTCCTTCCACTTCCACTGTCCATGTATCCCACATAAAACGTGGCATGTCAGGTCTTTTCCAACTTGGGAATAGTAGGGTGGTTATCAACAATTATTTCCGTGAATAAAGTTAAGCTTAACTAAACTTAGAGAGTGCACGGCTTAAATTTTGGGCAGTCGATTGTCATACAGTAGGGGAGATCAATAATTCGCTTGAGAAAAATCAAATAATTGTACTTGCTCACAGTATAAACTGTATTTTTTATTTATGTATGCTACTTGTTACAAATACAAGCATACTGGTTCCTGAAATAAGGCATTTATGTTGTTGAAAATGTCTTATCTTGTTCATTACACAACCTGTCCCTCAACGGGACGATTCCAAGCAATTTCCAGGAAAAAGGCCCCTTCACGCCTTGTGTTCTTGCACGCCAAACAGTTCGGTTTTAAAACACTTATCAGTCGTGCTAGAATGAAGATAAAGCTACTCTGTTTTCAATTTTGTGGTCCTTTATCGTTGATTTAAGACCGCTAAATGTTTAATTTAAAACCTCACGCTGTCGCGTCGCTCGGGTTTTAAATTTCATTTATTAAATTAAAGCATTAAGCATATTCTAGTTATCAAATTTAAATTTATTAAAATTTAAGACCGCTAAATGTTTAATTTAAAACCCTCACGCTGTCGTGGTTAGGGTTTATAAATTACATTTAGTGGTCTTAAATCAACGATAAAGGAACGCAAAATTGAAAACAGAGAAGCTTTATCTTCTAATTATATGTAGGTCAAGTGGAAATATTGTTATCGCAGATTTCTTATTCATGTCTATAATTTATTGAAATGTAGAATATAGTTAGTGTACAGGCTAACAGACAAGTTGAAGGTCTGATTCTCTACAGATGATCTTAGATATGTGATCTTATTATCATGGTCTTGTATCTGAAACAAAAGATGTATCTGACAGACAAGTTGAAGGTGTGATTCTTTACAGATGATCTTAGATACGTGATCTTATTATCATGGTCTTGTATCTGATTCTCTACAGATGATCTTAGATACTTGATCTCATTATCATGGTCTTGTATCTGAAACAACAAAAGATGTATCTGACAAGACAAGTTGAAGGTCTGATTCTCTACAGATGATCTTAGATACATTGATCTTATTATCATGGTCTTGTATCTGAAACAAAAGATGTATCTGACAGACAAGTTGAAGGTCTGATTCTCTACAGATGATCTTAGATACGTTGATCTTATTATCATGGTCTCTTGTATCTGAAACAAAAGATGTATCTGACAGACAAGTTGAAGGTCTGATTCTCTACAGATGATCTTAGATACGTGATCTTATTATCATGGTCTTCATCTGGAAACAAAAAGATGTATCTGACAGACAAGTTGAAGGTCTGATTCCTCTACAGATGATCTTAGATACTTGGATCTTATTATCATGGTTCTTGTATCTGAAACAAAGATGTATCTGACAGACAAGTTGGAAGGTCTGATTCTCTTACAGATGATCTAACAGACAAGTTGAAGGTCTGATTCTTTACAGATGATCTTAGATACGTGATCTTATTATCATGGTCTTGTATCTGAAACAAAAGATGTATCTGAAAAGATGCAACATTTATCATGTCAGATATGGTCTTAACCATTTCCAATTTCATTTCATTCAAATCAAAAGATAAAAAATTAGTCTGCCATATATCTATGTATGTTTGAGCATTTCTTCTGAAGTTTTATCATGCTTATCAATATCTAGACAGGGTTGTCATTGATGAATCAAAATTGTTTGCCTGGACGCACAGGAGGCCCACTGTTGGACACACCACAAACCTGTGATTGTTGGTCTGAATGATGGTTCACCCTGGTTATGTTTCTAGGTCTGTCTGCACCATACCCGTGCTTGTGTGCTTCACCACAGTGATGAACATTTGAGGCTTGCATCGCTTTGGGTTTTCTTCCCACATTCAACTGATATTCGGGTTATAACTGGAATACTGTTTAAAGCAGTGTTATGCCTAACTCACTCACTTACTCATGCGACCGCCTCCGTGGTGTAGTGGTTAGAGCGTCCACCCGGAGAGCGGAAGGTCGCGGGTTCGATCCCCGACCGCGTCATACCAAAAGACGTTAAAATATGGTACTTGTTGGTCCCTGCCTGGTGCTCGGCATTAATGGGTACAACAAGGACTGGTCGGCTCGTAGTCAGTATAATGTGTCTGAGTGGGGTATTCATGCTTCACTGCGGCATGGCATCTCAGTGGGCTAGCACTATAAAACCAGCTTAAGTCTGGGCTAGTACAAGCAGCCGCACACACACATACACATGCATGCACGTCGTCATATGAGCGAAATTTTCTCAAGCACGACGTTAAACCCAATTTCACCTCACCTCACCTCACCTCACTCATGCTGAAGGGGCTGTTGTCAGCACAGGTACTACAGACATGTACCTCAGGTGTGTTTCTGTGTACAGATATGTACCCTAAACAAAGTCAAACTACAGAAACGTATCCGGCACCCTAAACAAGGGACAAGTCTATGTTCCGCAACCCAAAACCGAAACCATTTGTAGTTGTTTCCGTTCAGATGATTGCAACTGCAAGTGGTCTTGTGCATAGCAAAATGTTTATAATTGTGTATGCTCTTTTCTTGTATAACGCAATCAAATGCATCTGATACAACAGTATGACATTTCCGATAAAGAATGCAGAATGGTCCCAATGTCTCCCATCCTAGTGTACGTTTCTGTATTTTGATTTTGGCTAGGGTACATTTCTGTGCCACCCATTTCTGAGTTACGCGTGCCAACAACAACCCCTTCAGCTTTACTCATATGCATACTAAACTAACAGGAAATATATGACGTATTTTCAGGCGATACATTTCCAACGAAACACTGTTCAAGGAGCTAGTAGCCAAGGCAGACAGTCTGTCACATCGGGTGTGGGCACTGGGAGGTAATGCCCCAGTCATGGCTAACAGATTAGCTAGAGAAGGATTGGATGTACTGCTTGGAGCGAGACTTACTCCCAACATGGCAAAAGCACTTGATTCAAGTATTAAAGGTTGGACTCCTTATATTGTTTATGTTTCTGTTTTGCCATAATTTATGCTATTCATCATGTTCATTGTTCCAGAAACCTAGGATGTGGGTTTGAATCCCAGTTCAAACTGATTATTTTTATAGGTTTGTAAACACTATGCCCACACTTCTAGTTTTCGGGGAGGTGGGGTAGCCTAGTGGTTAGGCGTTGGCTTGTCATGCCGAAGGCCCGGGTTTGATTCCCCATGTGGGTACAATGTGTGAAGCCCATTTCTGATGTTTCCCGCCGTGACATTGCTGGAATATTTGCTAAATGTGGCGTAAAACCCAACTCACTCACTTCTAGGTTTCACCAAAGTTATAACATAATAATAATGTGTGTACTTATACTGCGCTAACTTCCATGACATTATTACTAGTGCTGGGAGTTGGTCAAAATCTCATAATTGATGATTGGTTCATTACAACCGATCAATCATCAAAAATAATTTGTTAGCGTCATTTATTAAATTTTCCTGATTATTTTTATTAATGGACAAAAAAATTAAAGAAAAAACCCTGTAGTTCTTTGGCAAATTTCACATCTTTAAAGGATGACTAGTAGGTTAGGAACACTAATTTCTTGGAGTCTTGAAGATAAATTCAACCATGACTTGGAACGAGCTTGTAGTACTCATGAAATGTAACTGACAAAACCAACCTTATGAAAAATATTGTTAATGCAAACGTGTTCCAGAATTGTTTGCGTTCGATTATGAGAAAACATGATCGATTACTTGGTCGTTTAGTCACTGCGACCAATCTTCGATTATTTCAATTAGTCGGACCACCACTAATTATTACCCTGGTCAGTGGATCAGTGTGCACGACAACCCAAGTTGTAACAAAATGTAAAGCACATGAAGATTAACAATCAAATGACCATGTCATCCCTCCCGGTACCCATTTACTGCTGGGTGAACAGAGGCAATTCACCATTCACCTGATGAGGAGTAAGAATATACTTCGAAACGTTGTGTCCATTACTATAAAGAAGTTAACATCCATGGAATTCTTGCCCTGACTGATGTGATGCTCTTTCAGTGACCGGGAAGGAAACCTCGTCGGAGGACGTCCATCTCCTTATGGAATATAAGGCAGGGGCCACGTGGGGACAGTACACAGCACCGCGGGCCAACAGGTAACAGTGCTCACATTCACAATTCTTTAGATTGTCTTTACACATGCAGTGTATCAGATTCAGTTATGTGTATTAGCTAATGTCAGTGAAACCTTCTCAAAATTATTGTTTGGTGCAGAGTACAGTGGATAAAAGCAGACAGTCATTTCAACCAGAGGAAGTTAGACTTATTGAGCTGGAAATATTTCCAACTTTGATCTTGATGAAAGAATATTTTATTACAAGCGTGCGACTTCGGATTAGAAGGTCTGTGTTTCAAATCCCAGCACAGGACTCGGAAATTTTATGGGCGCTACATTAGCAAACGTCTTGACTATGAGAGTAATGTACCTGGGCCTCATTCACCAAGTGAGAGTAATGTACCTGGGCCTCATTCACCAAGTGAGAGTAATGTACCTGGGCCTCATTCACCAAGTGAGAGTAATGTACCTGGGCCTCATTCACCAAGTGAGAGTAATGTACCTGGGCCTCATTCACCAAGTGAGAGTAATGTACCTGGGCCTCATTCACCAAGTGAGAGTAATGTACCTGGGCCTCATTCACCAAGTGAGAGTAATGTACCTGGGCCTCATTCACCAAGTGAGAGTAATGTACCTGGGCCTCATTCACCAAGTGAGAGTAATGTACCTGGGCCTCATTCACCAAGTGAGAGTAATGTACCTGGGCCTCATTCACCAAGTGAGAGTAATGTACCTGGGCCTCATTCACCAAGTGAGAGTAATGTACCTGGGCCTCATTCACCAAGTGAGAGTAATGTACCTGGGCCTCATTCACCAAGTGAGAGTAATGTACCTGGGCCTCATTCACCAAGTGAGAGTAATGTACCTGGGCCTCATTCACCAAGTGAGAGTAATGTACCTGGGCCTCATTCACCAAGTGAGAGTAATGTACCAGGGCCTCATTCACCAAGTGAGAGTAATGTACCAGGGCCTCATTCACCAAGTGAGAGTAATGTACCAGGGCCTCATTCACCAAGTGAGAGTAATGTACCTGGGCCTCATTCACCAAGTGAGAGTAATGTACCTGGGCCTCATTCACCAAGTGAGAGTAATGTACCTGGGCCTCATTCACCAAGTGAGAGTAATGTACCTGGGCCTCATTCACCAAGTGAGAGTAATGTACCTGGGCCTCATTCACCAAGTGAGAGTAAAGTACCTGGGCCTCATTCACCAAGTGAGAGTAATGTACCTGGGCCTCATTCACCAAGTGAGAGTAATGTACCTGGGCAGCAGGGCCTCATTCACCAAGTGAGAGTAATGTACCTGGGCCTCATTCACCAAGTGAGAGTAATGCTACAACTATTGTAAATCCTATGCTGTAACACAGCCTTAAAACATCATAGACTGACTGACTGACTGAGTTTGGTTTTACGCCGCTTTTAGCAATATTCCAGCAACCTCACGGCAGGGGACACCAGAAATGGGCTTCACACAATGTACCCAAAACATCATAGAACTAAGATAAGATATAACTTTATTATCCCGGAGGAAATTCTTTTTGTATCAAAAACGGCCTCAAAATGAATATATACAAAATTCACAAAAATATACACAATAATTACATGCACGAAATGAATGCTGATGGTTCCATACAATTAACCACATAGGTAGAGGCTAGTTATCACATGCATGATGACTACCGATATTCAAAAACATTTGTTGCATTAATAACACGAATACTGGATGGTATGAAGACTGTCGAGCTCTGTTTGTTTTAAGCTAAGGTAATCGAAAGTGGCGTCCAGATGGAAGTAGTTGGAAATGATGACATAAAATATGTGAACTATCAATTCTAATTTTAGTTGCCTTTTTGACAATCTGGCGCTCATAAATGAAGGAAATATACTCGAAAGACACTTCAGTAATTTTGCTGGCAGTATTAACAATTTTGAAAAGATTTGTTTTTGTTGTGAGCAGACAGACCCCCATACCAACATATAAAATTGTAGGTCACCACACTTTGAATAAAGTGTCTACAGTCGCTTTGTGAAAGGGACCCCAGACAGATACAGAGAATGAGTAATTTTATAGAAAATCCAGCAAAGCCAGTTTGAGCTACCAACAGAATACCTGTTCAGAATTAGCCTTATACTAATGATAGATCTTGAACATACAGAAACAAAATACATTGTTTTAAAATGATTCACTGCAACGTGTTTCACATTTTTCAGTCTATTGAAAAGTGAGAAATGTGAATGTAACTTTATGATGACTATATTACATCTGAACCAAGGTTTGCTAGGAATATAATAATTGTGGAAACTCCCCTGATTTAAAGCACTGAGAACAGTGTTCTGTTTCATCAATTTCATCACAGTGTGCTGCTCTCACAAGCTGCCTTTGTTTTGTTTGAATTCCTTTCCTTGTCTCCTGACTAATGTGGTGTTGATGACAAGTGTACAGCCTGTCACAGTGAGAGGGTTCGTCTCAAGATTGTTATAGCTTATATTTTGTGACATGGCTCAGTGTTTTGCTGGAGCAAGAAATCAACTGTCAGTCAGATTGCTTCAGTGTTGTAATGATAAAAGATGTATCTTCTGTCAATCGCCAAGTTTTAATGGAATTCTCAAAAGCATTTTCCCTTCTTCTGTAAAAGTTTTAGTGGTGGACATTACAAATATCACTATTAAATTAGAAGTGTTCAGCTTTTGTGATCATTGAGTTTGAAACCAGTAGGTGTAACTCATGAATGAGGTGGTTTGAAAATGAAAGCAGAGAACTAGGTCAATATAGTTATCTTGCTATGCTTTTGTGCAAGCATGGGTGTGCCCCACTTGCACAAATAGGGATCTGTGCTGTTGTTTGGCTTACTATCATTAGTATCATCACATTTACATTTTTGAAAGCAAAGATGTTTAACAGGAGTGTGTCCACGTGTTATTCAGTATTTAAGATGTGCTACTACTTATACCAGCCCTTTATTCCCTGGGCATGGCAGGACTATATGTTGCTTGTTATATTTGTTACGTTTACATTAAATATGAGTTTTCTTCTCTGCGTTAACCAGTCCCAATCAAAATTTAATCCAGTAAACTGTTTTATCCTTCTTTAGAAGTTATGGTTGATTGCACAATGCCATTTAGAAAGTGTTCAAATGTAACATATGTTATATTTGTGATTGCACTTTCTTAACCCCAAAAGTACTAGAATCTGTACTTTACTGAAAAAGTGTAATCCCAAATATAACATATGTTACATTTGACCACTTTCTAAATGGCATTGTGTAATCATAAATTTTGGCCGTGCCAATTTACACTTATCAGAGGAGTACACAAAGTCTGCAGTCTAGACTATCAGTTGTCTAGCTTCCATTTTTGTGGAAGTTGCAGTAGCTGAGCGGGTTAGGCGGCTGACTTTGTGTGCTGGCGATTTGGTGCCTGACTCTGAGGGTGTGGATTCGAATCCCGGATGGGACTCAACCCAAAAAGCACTAGAATCTGTGCTTTATTAAGAAAGTGTAATCCCAAATATAACATATATTTAGCAGTTGGAGAGTCAGATGTGGACAAACTTCATGCATGAACAACTTCTTTATGCAGGTGATGTGACGTTTCGATACAGATTCTTGTATCTATTGGTACTTGCTTGACAATGATTCAAGAATCTGTATTGAAACATTGCATCACCTGAATAAAGAAGTTGTTCATCCATTAAGTTTGTCCTTACCAGTATTATCCTGTTTGTGTTTACTTGTTTCGTGTCAAGATTAGAAGTGTAGGTAAAAGGTAATTCTAGTTGGGTAGCCTAGTGGTTCAAGTTTTCACTCATCACATCTAAGACCCAGGTTCGATTCCCCACATGGGTACAAAGGGTGAAGCCCATTCAAGTGTCCCCTGCCATGATTTGCTGAAATATTGCTAAAAGCAGCATAAAACTATACTCATTCAGCCACTATGTGTGCCAGGGTTATTTCTTGATGTTTATGAATATACAGAGAGCCAGTCACTGAGTCAGTTACCAATGTTAATTGTATGCCTGCAGGGAAATGATACTATTACAGTCAGTAAATCATCCAAACAGCCAATCATGGCGGTGATGTATTCATAGAAGTAAGTGGAGCTGTACAAGCTGTTGAAGTCATGATATCGGTCATGACAAAAATGAAAATTGATATGAATTTATTGTCTGACGCAACAGCAGTGCAGGCAATATTTGCTGAGCTATTACTTTGCATGAGTTGTTTAGAAAATGTCATTTCAAATTTCCTATTTTTTCATCTATATTGTGATTATGCTGTTAAATACTGACTGCTAAATACCACGCATCTATCATCACTGTTTCATATTTGTGGAGATTTGGGGACTTGATAAGTTGATTCTTGCCACTGAAGCACGTATATTCGTAGTGAATGAGATCTATATGATTTATCATTATAAGTCTGTTTGTATGCAAATGTAAGGATTGCATTTCAGTTCTAAATACTGTATTTCCATGCAAAAGGGATTAAATATTAACATTTTAATTAATTTCATCTCATAACTGTTACATGTTGAGGATGCTGAAACTAAAACACATTGCAGTTCAAGTTGTTGACAAATCTGTACCAACCCTGGGTTAGGTTACTGTTTAAACACTTGAATATGGAGTGTGAATATGCTTTTACATAACTATCAACATTATTTTAGTGATAGTAAGGGACATCTGACTTCACACATTGTACTCATGTTGAAATTAAACCCAGAACTTTGGTGTGATGAGTGAACACTTGAACCACTAGGCTACCTCATCACTTGTATACAGGTATTTGTTGGTTTCCTCTTCGTGGTTCTGTTCGTGTACTAGTGTACAGGTGTACTAGTGTACAGATGTACTAGTTTGTAGCGGCAGTAATTCGACATGTAACACCTGCTTTCTGCCTGTATTGATTACCTGAATCAGGGATATTTGCCTTCTTTATGCTTGTGGTGGATGTTTACTTGAGATAATCAATGTGGCTTTCATTTCCTTTGTCATGCTATGAGTTGTGACACATGGCAACTTTGAAATTAAGTTGTGAATCAGTGATAATTGCCATCTTTATGCTTGTGATGGATGTTTTATAAAAATAATGCATGTGATTTTCCTTTTTCATCCTATGAGTTGTGACATGAAATAATAACAATGGCAACAAATAACATCTGATGATTAACATTGCCATGTCTGTCTATCCATTATCCATTTTTATCGACAATGATAAAGAAGTAATTATGTGTTTATAAGAATCATCTTCAGTACTGTACTGACTGAGTATGGTTTTACGCCACTTTCAGCAATATTGCAGCAATATCATGGCTTTACGCCACTTTCAGCAATATTGCAGCAATATCATGGTTTTACGCCACTTTCAGCAAGATTCCAGCAATATCATGGTTTTATGCCACTTTCAGCAAAATTCCAGCAATATCATGGTTTTACGCCACTTTCAGCAATATTCCAGCAATATCATGGTGGAAGACACCAGAAATGGTCTTAACACATTGTGTCCATGTGGGGAATCGAACACGGGCCTTCAGGATACAAGCAAACGCTTTAACCACCAGGCTACCCCACCACCCCTTCAGTAGGATAGTCAAGTGATTTAAGTGTTCATTTGTCACAGTGAAGGTCATTTTTTTCCATAAATGGATGCTGGGACATTATGAAGCCCATTTCTTGTGTACCTCAGTACAACAATGATGGAATATCGCTAAACATCATTACATGATAAATAATGTTTCTGTCATACTCACCCTTCGAATGCAAAAAGCAGTGTGTGAATATCTTTGACAGGCTTGTAACTCTACAATTGTTCAGGTATCATGGGATAGTTTTTTAGATATTTTGTTGCAGAAAAGGCAAATACATATCAATTTTACCCCAGGTTTCAATGTGTTGTTCTCTTGAATGACTGAACAAGGGCATATCCTGGACTAACACTTAGTCTCTGAACATATATAGTTTTGATACAAAAAGCTTATAATATATAATACGGGAACTTTGAGATAGTCTTGCTTTTCGTGAAACACTGTGACTTAAATATGTAACACTTGTAACATCACATGTACAACTGAGTTCTCTCTTTCAGACTGATCGTACACAGTGACTCGTTGAACCCCTTTCTAGATTCTCTGGAGGAGTTTCAGGAACAGCTCAAAACATACAATGCCGACCTGCTGATTGTCGGTGGGCTCCAAATGATGGACAACTTCCCGTTTAAAGATGGTTAGTTGTGATTAGAAGTTAAATAAACTTTTTTGTTATTGTGTGAGTATTTGTAAGTAATTATTACCTGACTACTGGTGTCAGAGTCTCAGGAATGGAGTTGTCACTCAAATAGGGTGAGTCTGCTTCCAGAATTGAAGGATCTGAGTTATTTCTCCAACTTAAACTTTGCTATTGTTCTGGTAAGATTTCTCCATAATGCTGCATGATGACAGATAGTTGATTGAGTTTTACCAGTGTAGCATATTGCATGTACGTGAAAGGTGTCCCCTGCACAAGCGACTACCTGAGAGAGGGTCACTTATTGGCATGACTGCTTGCCCTTGGACAACAGATTTCTGCATGAAGCCCAAAAAATATGCCTACGAGTGTTATTTATTAAAATAATAAAACAAAATTGAGTAAGTCATTGATCGTCATGCCAGTTATAGGATAACATCAAAGAGAATGTTTACTTGCTAATCAGAATTGCCTGTGAATTCCTGGCTCCGAATCAACTGCAACAAGAATAAGCGACATCGTCATGATGGTTTAGTCATGGTTAATATTCAGTGGTCAAGAGACTACAAGGTTTCATTGTACACATGACTCCACCAAATATAAACTCAGACAGAAATTTGTTTTGGCACGTTTTCAGAATTGAAAATCTGTTTGTTAGATATACACAATGTTAATGTTTTCTGTGTTGTTCACTATTACAGGAAAAAGACAAGAAAGAGTGAAGAAATTAGAATCAACTCTTGCAAACGTTCCTCAAAAGACCCAGATTCATTTTGAGCTGGCATCCTTCACAGACAAAAGCCTCATGGAGGAGATATATGAAAGTGTGGTCCTCTACTCAGACTCACTCGGGATGAACGAACAGGAACTGCCGAACCTCGTGAGTATGATGACAGGTGGGAACGTCACGCTTCTCTCTGACAGCCATCCCAGAATAGCAACATCCCTCGACCAGATGAGGTTGGTCTACAACATCCTGAAAAACACCAAAGAGACCGGGGGACGAAGAAAACTAACACGCATCCACTTACATACTCTTGCCTACCAAGCAATCCTTACGAAAAAAGGCACAGCATGGAAAAACACAATGTCTGCTGCGGCCAAGGCTGCCCTCACTGCTCATCGCCATGTCTGCGGGTCTCAGTATATTCATGTGGAGAAAGCCAAGTTGATAGTGGATGATTCATTTTCATCCAGTAAAAGTGATCCCAAGCCACAAAGGATCCCCATCAAGGATAATCGTCCAGTCACCTGTTGGGACGAGGAGGACTATGAGATCTGCATTGCGCCGGTGCTGGTGTGCACGCAGGTGTTGCAGACAGGGGGTGGCGGGGACAACGTCTCATCAGCTGGTCTGGTACTGCAGCTGTAGAGAGAACCCTTCCTTATCCTAACCACCATACTTACATTGCAATAATTTACCATAACACTTTGCTATTATGTGCCCACCTGTTCCCAAGTGCTTACATGTGATTGCCAAATGAAGTAAGACAATAACCAAAAAATAAAACTTTAATAAGATTTATAAAAATATGAAAGTGAGCATTAGTAAATGAATATGTTCATTCATATTCATATTCAAAACAATTTTAGTTAACCAAAAGCGTATATATGTTATATTTCATATCTGTTTTTAATCAAAAACAATTTCTTCAAAATGACCATTATGAACCATTCCTTGTTTGTGAACTATGTATAGTAAGGAGATGTGTTGTTGATTAATATTGTCTTTGTATAGATCATTTCTAGAGGTGCTAGCTTTCAGATCTAATTATGATACATATCCAGCCATGCTTTATGACACTGTTATGAAATCCACTGATGTTTTAATGCAAAATGTTCACCACAGCTCCTTATTTTCCAATATTCCGAACTTTCATTTGTCATGCAGCAACATCGACGTGTGGTATTGGTTTATTTATGAATGTGGAAGATACCCTGGATACCTGGTGGGAGGTATTAGAACATACTACATTCCTGAAGACTGTCACAAGGACGGTGGAGATGCAGAGGAAGCGACTGAAATAGTAGTCAAATAATCAGTTATGGAATACTTACAAATGTTGTATAAAATACAGCATTGATTTGGTTCACTATACATCTATTTCAATATGAGCATGGCACCTTTCATCAGAAAATAACTAGATATGTTGTTACAAAAATGCTAAATTCGTAATGAGATATATATCATACAGTGCTTGATATATATCAGGTGGACATATGTATTTCATTTTGATGAATGTTGAAACATGTTGTAGAATGAATCCTGAATATTGTGTCAGAAACTGATAAGTCAAGTAGGGGCAGTCTTAAGGGTCAAGTAGGGTTTCAGTCTTAAACTTGGCTCTGAGTATACAAATTAGATAAATGTGCATCACAGCCAATAGTTAACTTCAGTACAAGAGCTACTGTATGTTATGTTGTGCTAGTTAACTTGTTATAGGGATGATATAAAAGGCTGTTGTGTGTTAGTTGTGCAGTGTGGAGCAGGTGCTTGATCTGGTACAGTCGAGTGTAACACAGATAACATGATAATGACATTTGTGGGGCTGTATTATAGCTGCTGTTTGTTGCTGGTAATATATCCTGTGATGTGAGCAGGTTCCTGATCTACTACACATCTAGTGTAACGCTGATAATTACATGATGATAACATTTATTGGCTTGTATAGCATCTACTGTTTGTTGGCATGCAATGCATTTTCACAGTGATAAACAGGGCAACATTAAATAGAACATGTACTGTCAATATATTGCTGAAAACGATGTATTGACATATTTGTAACTATTCCATGTCGGTTATTATCTGACTACCATTTCAATGTTATATTTGAATTGTGAAAATTGAATGTGTGAAAATACAGGAGCTGTGCTTAACTTTTAACAGGTTTTTATTATCTCTGTTAGCTTTAACATATAGAACATCCCATGCACTGGAATAGGCATTAGTTTGGACTTAATTTCATTTCAAAGTTTATTCATCTGTATTTTCATTAAAATCAAATCTTTATGAACACTACCGCTATACCATTGATGTGCTTATGACAGATCACTTTTATCAGTACTTTGTGTAGTGGTTGAGAGCACTAAGATCTGATTTTGATTTTCCTATCAGTCTCATTGAAACCAGATCTTAGCACTACCGCCACATTGAAGTTTGTTTATTGCAGATCAACTTTATAAGTACTTGCAGGGGCAGATCCAGGAGAAAGTGCGGTTCACATAAATCACGAAGTCCAAACGTTAGGGGGAAATGCTCCTTAGGGAAAGGTTTTTCTTGTTTTTACTTTTTTTCTATTATGTTATTTTGGGGGTGGGGTGGGGGTGGAAGAGATCCCCTGGATCCACCCCTGCTTTGTGTAGTGGTTGTGACCACCAAGATCTGATGTTAATGAGTGTGATTCATAAAGTGCCTGTGCTCAATGCATTTCACTTTGAATGAGAGATATCTTGTATTAGTGTCAGACATATTTACAGTATTTAGCAGTTTACCTGCATCTCAAGATTGTCTCTGACGGACATGGAATATACAATTTGTTTTGGACTTCTTTAGAGGTAACAGTATTTGAATGTTATTTACTCATCTTTATACTACTCGTAAGTGTTATTTAACCAAAGAAATCACTTTTGATTTTCCAAACTGTGTTCTGTTACTTTTTTCAGTAAAATGTATTTGAAGTTTTTTTCATTACACAGCGCTTTTTTAATGTTGATTCTTTGAATGAAATTTGGAATAATTTGAGCTTGTTTCATTCTTACCAAAACAGACCAGTCTTCTTCAATTCCAAAATTTATTATATTTCCTCAGCACTGCTTGTTTGTTTTTATCGAACTTATATTAATCTTTTTGTCAACAAAGACAAGGAGAGCTGAGATCAGTGTTAGGTTAGCTATAATTGTGACATGTGGACTGAAATGTATACCATATATTGCCATCTAACGTGACCCTTAAAGTGAGTGAGTGAGTGAGTTTAGTTTTACGCCGCACTCAGCAATATTCCAGCTATATGGCGGCGGTCTGTAAATAATCGAGTCTGATCAACAGCATGAGCATCGTACTGCGCATTTGGGATACGATGACATGTGTCAACCAAGTCAGTGAGCCTGACCACTTGATCCCGTTAGTCGCCTCTTACGACAAGCATAGTCACATTTTGTGGCAAGCATGGGTTGCTGAAGACCTATTCTACCCCGGATCTTCATGGGCCTGACCCTTAAAAGTCCTTGCAGGTCCTAATCTGCTCTTACTAGATGTAAAATCCTGATTTTAGCAGGTTGTTTTGCACTTATCTCTTTTTTCTTGAATGCAAACATATTAATAACTATAAGAGTATCCACTACTCATTATAAGCACCTGTAATCATGCACTGGTAGAGAGATGGACTAAAACCAACATCAAAATATTTATATCAAATCTTCTCAACACTGATATTGTCATTTGGGAAAGGTTAAACACACTTTGTGTTTTAACAGTTCACCATGTTTTAGAAATCAAATTTTATTATGTTGATTTTGAAATACTTTAGAGAAATTATTTTGCTTTCTTTACTGTTGGTTGATTGATATTCTGTGATTGGGTGATTGGCAGCTTACATGTTTTGGCAACCTGTGTTTGTGTTGATTTGTTGTGAATTTTGATAGTACCTTATTACTGTGATAACCAGCTCAATAATGTTCAATAAACATTAATATGATAAGTTATATCTGTTGTTATTTGGTCAGTGTGTATTGCAGTGACAGCAGTAATTCTGGGATTAAATTATGTTGAACATTGTGGTGAATTGATGATCAGTTATGTAAGAGAATTGTTCTTATTTTTGAGTGAGTGTGTGAGCTGGGTTTAACACAGCTTGTATTGCTATTCCAGTTGAAGCACGCATCAGTCTGATGTGGGATGAGAGCCCGAACTGATGCATCCTCGATAATCTCCAGGGTATACGTTCCGATAAATCTCCATTAGTCCTTGATAATCTCCAGGGTATACGTTCCGATAAATCTCCATTAGTCCTCGATAATCCCCAGGGTATACGTTCCGATAAATCTCCATTAGTCCTCGATAATCCCCAGGGTATACGTTCCGATAAATCTCCATTAGTCCTCAATAATCCCCAGGGTATACGTTCCGATAACTCTCCATTAGTCCTCGATAATCTCCAGGGTATACGTTCCGATAAAGCTCCATTAGTTCTCGATAATCTCCAGGGTATACATTCTGATAAATCTCCACTAGTCCTCGATAATCTCCAGGGTACGTTCCGATAAATCTCCACTAGTTGTGGCGATTTATTTAAATGCATACCCTGGAGATTATTAAGGATGGAACTGATACAGGTTTCAAATTTTTGGCCCTTGGTAAAACCCACAATCACAGGTATGGTGCTGACAATCCAAGAAGTATAATCATTTCAAACCTGGATTTGATCCGACATCACGTTTATGGTGTGCCAAGGGACACAACTCAAATTGCGGCACCTTCAAGGACTTGGCTGCCCTTGTCACTTCCATATTTGTACAGTACACTTTCATCGTAGATATTTTCACAGTCCCACACAGGGAGAGTAAACATTCAATAAGCATCATATCTAATCGGTGGCAATTCCATGTTAGTACAGTGGATGACATCAATCAATATGGATAATATCAGATCAGCTACTGACTTTGGATCAGATCTGTTGATGACATCAGATCAGTGGATGACCTTGGATCAGTGGATGACCTTGAAACAGTGAATGGCATCATATCAGTGGGTGACCTTGGAACAAAGAGACATCAAATCAGTGGGTGACCTTGGAAGAGAGATGACATCAAATCAGTGGGTGACCTTGGAACTGTGGATGACATCAAATCAGTGGATGACATTGAAACAGAATGACATCAAATCAGTGGGTGACCTTGGAACAGTGGATGACATCAAAACAGTGGGTGACCTTGGATCAGTGGATGACCTTGAAACAGTGAATGGCATCATATCAGTGGATGACCTTAGAAAACAAAGAGACATCAAATCAGTGGGTGACCTTGGAAGAGAGATGACATCAAATCAGTGGGTGACCTTGGAACTGTGGATGACATCAAAACAGTGGGTGACCTTGGAACAGTGGATGACATCAGAACAGTGGGTTGCCTTGGAACAGTGGATGACATTGAAACAGTGAATGACATCAAATCAGTGGGTGACCTTGGAACAGTGTATGATATCAAATCAGTGGATGACCTTGGGAAAGTGGATGACATCAAAACAGTGGGTGACCTTGGATCAGTGAATGACATCAAATCAGTGGGTGACCTTGGAACAGTGGATGACATCAAATCAGTGGATGACCTTGGGACAGTGGATGACATCAAATCAGTGTATGACATCAAACTTGATGACCTTGGAACAGTGGATGGCATCAAATCAGTGGATGACCTTGGAACAGTGGATGACATCAAATCAGTGGATGACCTTGAAACAGTGAATGACATCAAATCAGTGGGTGACCTTGGATCAGTGAATGACATCAAAACAGTGGATGATATCAAAACAGTGGGTGACCTTGGATCAGTGAATGACATCAAATCAGTGGATGACATCAAAACAGTGGATGACCTTGGAACAGTGGATGACATCAAACAGTGGATGACCTTGGAACAGTGGATGACATTGAAACAGTGAATGACATCAAATCAGTGGGTGACCTTGGGACAGTGGATGACATCAAAACAGTGGGTGACCTTGGATCAGTGAATGACATCAAATCAGTGGGTGACCTTGGAACAGTGGATGACATCAAATCAGTGGATGACCTTGGAACAGTTGATTATATCAATTCAGTGGATGACATTGGATCAAACTAGATGAATGACTGACATCGGCAACAAACTGAGGGAGACACCAGATATACCGGTTAGGGGACCACAACAGTGCAGTTGAAAACACACCTGCTATCAGGACCACTCCACGATGATCATATAATGCTAGTGTGTTTATTCACCTTGTAATATAGGCCATAGTCCCACATTACAAAACTATTATCTTGAGGGAAACCATACAGGCTGCCTGCCTATTTGAGGCTGCCTTAATAGCACTGCTTGTGATTCATATAGTGGTAATTGTTTGGTTACAATTTGAATTTCGGTTGACATGAGAGTACTGGGTTAGTGTGTCCTTGAGAATACTATAACCTAACTGGAATACACAAACATCTTTCTGTCATGAATACAACATGAGACTCATCTTCAATCATTGCTCAGTGAAGAAAGCTAAAGCCCAATACTGGACAAAAAGCCTGCGAAATGAAAGCCCCTTCTTGTTCGTGTACAACAGCTATACAAAACACTACGTCAAAGAAAGCAGGCTTCAAATTGTTTAGGAAAGCAAACTTAACATTTGTCCCATGGGTATTTGTCCGTGCAGTTCTCTTTTACCTATGGGGCTTTTATTCACATGGGCGTCTGCAATGTATAGTGGGCACATAAAGAAACTGTGCATACAAAAATGTAAAATCTAAATTTATCAAACCTGTGTAGACACATAAGGATTTAAACTCTGAGATTATAGTGACATGTATCCAACATGCATGCACGTGCCACGTTCCGTGATGTCAGTGGGTTCGTCTTTGAGACGTGCAATACGTTGTTGCATGTGCATTCCGGGAAAGAGAAACAGAGCAAATGAATGCCACACAATACTGTCACTTTGGAAAGCTCAACCCCTGCCCTTGCGATCGTTCAAAAAATTAAACGGCTATT